ATCTCCATCCAAAGAAGTCCTACTATATGAGGCGACTGACACCCAAACAATGCTTGGGACTGAAGCCATTTTGAAATAGTTTCTTCACATTCATAAATGCATAGAAAACTCAGAAGCAATCCATCTTCAGGTCAGCTTCCTGAAAAATATGCATTGTGGTATATTGGGGTTTTGAGCACATTGTGAATATCTAGGTGAACTGTGTGGAAATGCAGTTCTCTTGGAACCGGAGGTGGATGCAAGTCACACATGTGCAAGTCACAAGCAAGTCTCAAGTCATAACTTTCAAGTCTCAACCAAGTCAAGTCATTTTTTGTTCGACTCAAGTCATGTCACTACTTATTTCAAGTTACGTCAAGTCATAGCTTGGTCTATCTTGGTCAATCTAATTACTAATTACTATACAGATGGCTTTTTGCTCAGGAGAATGTATGTGGTTACTTCAAAGCCATTAAAATAGTATACTATTAATAAATGAGACCCTAAATGACAAAACCAATCTTAAAGTGCACAGGTACATTTTTGGGGGGAATAAAATATTAAATCAAAATCATCATTTTTCTTTGATTACAAAAAACATTATTAAATTAAGACATTTCGTAAATTTCAATAACTCCAATAAAAATGTTTTGATTAGTAATATGAATTGCTAAGAGTGAACTCTAAAGGCAATTTTGAACCTTTAGATTCCAGATAATATATAAAGCCCATTTCACACATTTACATTTACATTTAGTCATTTAGCAGACGCTTTTATCCAAAGCGACTTACAAATGAGGACAAGGAAGCAATTTACACAACCAAGAGCAACAATGAATAAGTGCTATAAGCAAGTTTCAGGTCTGTAAAGTCTAAGAAGGGAAGTATTAGTAGTATTAGTATTTTTTTTTTTTTTTTTGTACAGTTAGTGTGATATTCAGAGAGGCAATTACAGATTAGGAAGTGTAGTGGAGACTAAATAGTTAACACATACCTTACAGACAGGTTTTGAGATCCATGGTCTGAAATGGTTTCTTGCTTTGCCTAACTTAATTCTTAATTTTTTTCCTCTGATAAATTGTTTTTAAAAAGATGCATGTGAGTAAAAAAACTGGAACATAGCATTTAACAGATTGTTTTAAATCAATCTGTATTTTAAAAATTAAACTTAACCCCTAACACTTCAACGTACATACAAATATCTTGTTTGTAATCTTTAAACCCGTAAAATAGGCTATCTTCTGAATCTAATGAATCATTTAAAGCGGTTCTTCTTAATGAACTGAATGATTCAGTCCAGCAAAACTGATTCTTTTGGACCGATCTGAGAACCGATGAGCCGTTAATAATGCGCATGCGCAACTTTCGGTTTTGTTTTGTTTTTAACCGCTTAATATATAACAAACGATTGTGTATTTAACAAAAACAAGTTTTTTTTCAAGTCATTTAACTCAAGTCTCAAGTCATGACAGTCAAGTCCAAGTCAAGTTGAATCTTTTTTGGATATTTGTCAAGCAAGTCTCAAGTCTTAAATTTTGTGACTTAAGTCTGACTCGAGTCAAGTCATGAGACTCGAGTCCCCCGTCTATGCTTGGAACGTTCCATTTATACAAGAGGGCTGCCCTTAAAGACTTGCTAACAAACAAGAAAAATACTTATTTGTCTTAATTAGACCTTCTTTAGCAGTCTGACTGAGAGATAAACAATACAGCAAAGCTTTCTGTTTTGAATGAATTTTTCTTCCAATGCAGCAGCCAAAATAATCCCTCATTTTTCATCGCTCAATAGGACAAAACTATTTTTTAACATTGTTTGCATGACTTATCGGGTGTTTGGGAAAACTTCTTTAACTGTCCTCAAAAACTTGCTCACAAAGTAAAGATGCACTTGTTCACATTAAACAGAATTTATTTTGAGAAACATGCATAGGACAGAATCTGTGATTTCTCTCTTCTACTTTGGAGAACAAAAGTAATCCATCCCTATTTCTGCTTTCTGAAGAATGTACATTATGGCTTGTTTGCACTTTCAACACATCACAGCTGGTATGAGCTATGAATGATTGAGGAGACCTGTGTGAAAATGCAATTCTGCTTGGTGCAGTTCTGTTGGCACAAATTCATTTTTTATGAAGCCGTGCTGTTCTGAAAGTCTTACTAACCAAGCAAATATGCACCAATCCTTCCCAATTAGACTTAGGCCCAATCCCTATTCTACTCCTCAACCCATCCCCTCAGGTCAAGGGTTAGGGATGTCCTAATTCTGTTTAGCTTGAAGGTCTAGGGCTACCCCTTAAAACAGAGATTTTTCAGGACCGCACTCAAAACCAACGGGTAAGAATATTTCCCAGAAAACACCATCTACAACGGCAGCATGGCAGCACACGGAAGTCAGCAAATGCACAAATTAGTATTTTGTCATTATACAACAAACAAGCATATGTTTTAATACAATCATAACGGTGTTCATGTTTTAACAATGTGCTTTAAAAAAAAAAAATTTAACAAATGCTAAATTTTGCTATCTATAATCCATAATAATTGCTTTTGCAGGTGCTGTAGTGCTGTCCCATTTCTTAGAGGTAAAATTTGAAGCCCTTCCTCTACACACTCTGTTTCAAGGGCCAAGGGGAAGGGGTAAAGGTAAAAAAGTAGAATTAGAATTGGGTATATGCTGAGCTAGTGTTGTTCCCATACTGATAAACTTCCAGTGACCTGTTATTTCACTGGAATATTATCGATTCCAGTGACGCTCTAGGGACAGACGAGTCTTTGCATGAGGCCAGCTTCCAGCCTCCACTGCTGAGACTGCAGCTCTGCACAAGACTTTTGGCCAGCAGAGAAATTAAACTGAGTCTGGTTCTCTCAAGGTTTTTTTCTTCACTCTCCTATTGGTGAAGTTTTGTTTTTCCCTCTCCGCTGTCGCAACTGGCTTGCATGGTTCAGGATCTGAAAAGCTACACATCAATGAATTTGCTCTTCAGTGCTTGGACTCTCAGTAATGATTTCAAACCACACTGAACTGAGCTAAACTGAACTGAACTTAAACACGAAAAACTGAATCACCCTGATCCAGTTACTATGACCATTTATGTGAAGCTGCTTTGACACAATCTACATTGTAAAAGCGCTATACAAATAAAGCTGAATTGAATTGAATTGAATTGAATTTTGAATTCTTTTCCATTTTATACAGTTCGTTTTACAGCATCGATGTTGTAAGGTACTTAAAATACACTCAGTTAAATAATTGTTGGCATTCATTCAGTTGTTCAAGCATAAAAGAAGACAAGAAGACGTTTACTTGTACTCCAGAAGCACTTAACCCAGGGTACTGGCAAATTAAAAGTCTTATTAGCATGCTTCATCATATACCCTATTGGGCCTTCCTGTAGCCGGCTGACTGATGGTTAAGCTTATTGTGTGGCTAATAAAATGTTTCTGTGTCGAATAGTTTAGATAAATGCATATTTAGATCAACATTCTGAAGATTGTGTGGTTGGTGTAGTTTAGCTCTAAACAACACAAAAGATCCAAAGATCGACCAACTTAGCCATCCTGAGTAGAAACACTAGTCGTACTGACTCCTAAACATTGTGGAAGCAATTTTGTAACAGTTTCTTGTATTCCATGAATAAATGCATATCTAAAACCAAAGCAATCCATCTTTACCTCAATTTCCCCCACAAAAAATTATGCATTCTGGTTTGTTGTTGCTTTCAACACTCTGCAGTTCTCAAGAGTTGTAGATGTCTGGGAAAATGTAAAATGCTATTCTGCTTGGCAACATTATTATTTATATGAAGAAGAGTGCTGCTGTTTAAGTCTTGTTAGTCAACCAAAGATGCACTCATTCATCCTAAATAGGCCTGTTAAAGCAGTCAGTTTGAGAACCGTAGAGTTAATAGGTTAAGAAATGTATTCTGTGCTGAAATAGTTTCCTGTTACCCTACATGCATACAGATCCAAAGATTATTCTTTAGTTCAGAAGTTCCCAAACTTTTCAGCCCGCAACCCCCAAAATAACAATGCCAGTGACTCGCGACCCTCAATATCCTCTGAGGTGGTTATAAATACAGAAACCTTGCATGCAATCGCACACACACACCAGTAGACTCAAGTCTATTCTTCGTTTAAATTTTTTTAATGTATGTCAGTGCTGTAAATGGGCCAGAAAATCAATCTTCTGCATCTGACGCTATTGCTCACTTTAATATAATGTATTTACCTCAGGGGTCGCAATCCAATAGAACTAGTAAATATGCTACTATAAACGACTGTTTTTTTTTTATCTTCAGTTGGTTATGGATAAAATATGGTAATTCTTATGGCCTAATAATAATAAGTAGATATTTGGAAATCACCAGCGAACCCCCCCCCCCC